ACAATACAGCAGGGTGGCATGAACCCAATTACTTGATTCATCATTGCTGCCTCCCAAGGTCTACACTGGCAGAAAACTGGAATCAGAGGCCAGAGCTGAGAAACAAACCAGACACTCAGATATGGGTGCCTTAACTGTTTGGCTAAACACCTGGTACCAGAGACTCACTGTTTGAAAAAAATTACATTGGTAGAAATACCATTTGGACTGAAATGAACAGAAAAATACAAAATTAAAAGAGGTCCCTGGACTCCCAAACTTGTGTAGGCATGAACCAGGTAAAGCAAACTACACAGCTGGGAACATAGCCTACTTTTTATAGAAAAGGAAGTGTGACTCAGAATGCAAAACCAAAAGCTCTAATAGCAGAATAAAAAGCCATATAGAATTATTACCAGGCCTTGAGTTCTAATTAAGGAACTACTAACCACTACCCAGAAGAATTTCATAACTGATATGAAGTAAAGACACCTTTATGCCAACACTTTGCCTCTTTTTGAATAAGGATGCCGAAAGTGGTTATCTCATGCCTACCCACCCACTGTATTTTAAATGGGGGGGGGGGGCAGATTCTTCATTTTCACAAGTCTTCAGATAAAAGGTAAGGCAGTTAAAGCAATTAAGAAACTACATCTAAGGAGCCTCATCTACAGCTGGACCTGATTCAGATGACAACATCCTGGAATGAAAGGTGATTCTGTAAGGGAAAGGCTCTTAGAGATGCTGAGTGTAATTTGTATGTGAAATAAATGTAAATAATTTTTGCCTACAGAGCATACTGTGGTGGCTGAAAATATGTTCACAAATTCTCTGACATTTCCTTCCAAAGGGACAGCCTAACTCCCCTTCTCCTAAGTGAAAGCTGGATTTGGTGATTTGTTTCTACAATCAAAAAGCAACTTCCACAGAACAGAGTAGGAAGAGGGGAAACAATAACTTTACAGTGGAGGAATCAAGTAAATAGTACCTTAATCAAATGATACAAGTTAACGTCAACGGTGAACTTGTGTGGACTGCATCTATCCCCTAACATGGTGGGACAGAAAGGGCACTTCATCACTGTTGTATTATTTCCCCAAGCCTATGACTAGATCTGAATGCACTCCCCCAAATCCATGTGCTGGAAACCTGAACTTTAGTGTAACAGCATTGGAAAGTGGAGCCTTTTGGGAGGGTTTAGGTCATGAGGGCTCTACCCTCATGAATGGATTAATGCTGTTTATAAAAAGGGCTTCTGGGGGCAGGTGCTGTGGCGTAGCAGGTAAAGCTGCCACTTGCAGTGCCAGTATTCCATATAGGCTCTGGTTCGAGTCCCAGCTGCTCCACTTCCGATCCAACTCTCTGATATGGCCTGGGAAAGCAGTAGAAGATGGCCCAAATCCTTGGGCCCCTGCACCCATGTGGGAGACCTGGAAGAAGCTCCTAGCTCCTGGCTTAGGATTGGTGAAGCTCTGGCCATTGCAGCCAAATGGGGAGTGAAGCAGTGGATGGAAGACATCTCTCTCTCTCTCTCTCTCTCTCTCTCTCTCTCTCTTTCTCTCTCTCTCTCTTCCTCTCTTTCTCTCTGTGTGTAACTCTGACTTTGAAATAAATAAATAAATCTTTAACCAAAAAAAAAAGGGGGGGGGGCTTCCGGGAATGGGCTTACTCTCTTCTGCCCTTCTACCGTGTAAGGACAGTCCCTTTTTACTTGTCTACTTTCTGCCATGTGAAGATACAGTATTCCCACCCTCTGGGTGACACAGCATTCAAGGAGGCAAAGACTGGAGCTTTACTAGACACCAAACCTACTGGTATCTTGATCTTGGACTTAAAATTTCTAGAACTGTGAGAAAATAAATTTCTGTTGTTTATAGATTACCTAGTCTCAGTTATGATGTTACAGCAGCACAAAACAGATTAAGCCACACAAAAGCTAGGCTAATCACAACAAAAACAGTAAACAGTTATTACAGGATATCTGGCTAGTACTCTTTAACTGTCAAGATCATTTCACAATGCTGTAAACCAAAACATCAAGTTGAACATCTCCTATATATATGTAATTTTTATTTGTTGAATAAAGCTAAAAAAACAAACCACTGTCAATTGCATAACAAAACATGGAAAGACTGAGATCAGAGAACATAAGGGAAACATGACAAATAAATACAAATAACATCATTTAGTTAATGCAATTAATTTAGTTTACTTAGCAACTTAATAGTTCTTCAGATTGGATCCTAAAATAGAGAATATATATGGAAAAAACCAAGAAGTATAAATAAAATCTGGAATTTAGTTAGTAAAAATAGTACCAATGTTCATTTCTTTTTAAAAAGTTATGTATGCATGTATGTATTTTAAAGGCACATTGGAAGAGGGAGAGAGAAAGAGAAAATGTGATCATCCAACTGTTGGTTCACTTCCCAAATGGCTTCGACAGCCTGGGCTAGACCAGGCCAAAACCAGGAGCCAGAAACCCCATCCAGGTCTCCCATGTGGGTGGCAGGGGCCTGAGCACTTGGATTGTCATCCACTGACTTCCCAAGTACATTAAGAAGTTGGCTTGGAAGCAGAGAAACCAGGACTTGAACCAGCACCTTGAGATGGGATGCTGTTGACACAAGTAGCAACTTAACTGGCTGTGCCCCAATGCTGCCCCTCTCTCTTTCATTTTTAGGATTTATTTATTTACAATGTTAGTTTTTTTATTTTGACAGATGTTTCTTGGTAATTTTAAGATGGGAAAATTGGATAAGAAACTCATTGTACTATCCTTGCAACTTCTATGTAAATCTAAAATGTTTAAAAATTCCAAGGGCCTCATCTATTCCACATGGTATCAGTTGCAATCTGAGATACTTAACTTATCCTTGGTCAAAAGGCAGAGCAAATACTAAATATGTAAATTACACTGATTCCTGTAAACAGTGACTTTTCCACTAGTAGCCATGTGAAATAAGAATTCACCCCTTGTCTATACACATATGTTGGAAAGACAGAGCAAGCACCTGAAAAGATGAGCCTGGGCCTGCTAGCCATTATCTGATCTCCATATAAAGTCAACTCATTTAAAGAATGAACAGTTGGCCAGCGCCGCAGCTCACTTGGCTAATCCACTGCCCGCGGCGCCAGCACCCTGGGTTCTTGTCCCAGTTGCTCCTCTTCCAGTCCAGCTCTCTGCTGTGGCCCAGGAGTGCAGTGGAGGATGGCCCAGGTCCTTGGGCCCTGCACCCACATGGGAGACCAGGAGGAAGCACCTGGCTCCTGGCTTCAGATCAGCGCAGCACAACAGCCGTAGCAGCCACTTGGGGGTTGAACCAATAGAAAAGGAAGACCTTTTTCTCTGTCTCTCTCTCTCTCTGTCTAACTTTGCCCTCAAAAAAAAAAAAGAAAAGAAAAGAAAAAGAATGAACAGTGCCAGACACACAAACAGGTATCTGAAGCCAGGAACTACATTTGGGCTTCCTCAATGTGTAACCCACTGATTTCTTTTTTTGCTTAATTAAGTGAGTCTGACACTAATGTAAGTGTTTTTGTCATTTGCTTTTTAAATCTAAGGTGTATTAAATGTTAAAGGAAGTTTCAAAATATCATAGGAACTCAAGTTATCAGATTCAACTGACATACTGGACAGGAATTCATAGCAAAGGTATTCAGTAATACAGGTATCAAAGAAGGGAGAGAATCTTAGCAAGCAGAACTGGGGATGGACAAAGAATATCCTAAGTAGGGGGCCAGCATTCTGACATAGTGGGTAAAGCCACTGATTGAGATGCCAGCAACCCATATGGGCTCTGGTTCGTGGCCCAGCTGCTCCACTTCCAACCCAGCTCCCTGCTAATGGCCTAGGAAAGTAGCAGAAGATGGCCCAAGTGCTTGGGTCCCTGCTACCCCTGTGGTAGACCTGGAAGGAGCTCCTTGCTTCAGCCTAGCCCCAGTGCTGGCTGCTGTGGTCATCCAGGGAGTGAACCAACCAATAGAAGAACTCTTTCACTCTTTCTGCCTCTCCCTCTAACTCTGATTTTTCAAATAAATAAATAACTATTGAAAAAAAAATCCTAAGTAGCAATAAGAAAGAATATGTAGGGAAAATACAATCTAACATCGTTAAATAGTACAATATAAACTGATAATGGATCTCAAAAGCCCTAAATGTTACTGTTACAAGACTAGACTGATTCCTCTAGGCTAAGGGGGAAGAACATCTTGTCCCCAAAAGGCCCACAAAGTCATCTGCTCTTGCCCTGCCAAGGCAATGACAGGCATGACTCAAAACTCATTAAATCTGGAGCTGACACTGTGATATAGAGTAAAGCTGCTGCCTGCAACGCCAGCATCCCACATAGGTGCCGGTTTGTCTTCCAGCTGCTCTACTCCCTGCTCATAGCCTGGGAAAAGCAGCAAAGATGGCCCAAGTGCTTGGGCCCCTGCCACTCATGTGGGAGACCTGGAAGAAGCTCTTGGCTCTGGCCTTTCCCAGCCCTAGCCATTGCGACTATCTGGGGAATGAACCACTAGATGGAAGATCTCTCTAATTCTGACTTTCAAATAAATAAGTAGTTTTTAAAAAATCTCAATAAATCTATAGCAGATACTTTTCAAGCTGATAATTCTGAATGGCTTTGCGAATGATGTTATAAATATCCAAATGGTTCTTGACTAATAATAAAAAAAAAAGTTCCCACCTCTGCTCTAGACTAAGGAAGGGTATGGGCAGTATTATAGAAAAGACAGATAAAACACATTTTTGTGATCAATATTGTATGTCACCACTTAACTATGCAGTCATTAATTTTATCATCATAATGCAGTTCAGGCTTTTTCTTATATATACAAGACTACCACTAGTAAACGACATTAGAATTCAGATGTACTTCTTCTATTACTGATTTCTAATCTACTAAGATTAATAACCCAGGCAACAAAAAGCAAATTTAGGAGTGGGTATTTAGCCTAGTAATTAAGATACCAGTTAAGACACTGGCATCCCATATGAGAGTACCTGAGTTCCATACCTGGCTCTAGGTCCAGATCCCAACTTTCTATTAATGCAGATCTTGAAGGCAGAAGTGACAGCTCAAGTATCACTGGGTTCCTACAGTCCATGTGGAAGAACTGGCTACAGTCTCTGGATACTGACTTCAATCCAACCCAATTCCAGACGTTGCTGGTATCTGAAGAGTGAACAAATGGATGGGATCTCTCTCTCTCTCTCTCTCTCTCTCTCTCTCTCTCTCACACACACACACACACACACACACACAAAAATCTTAAGCAAGTTTAGGAGTGAGAGTTTGATAAAACAGTTAAGCTACACTTGAGATGCCTTCATCCCATGCGTTCAAGTCCTGGCTCCATTCTCCATTCCAGCTTCCTGCTAATGCATGCCCTGGGAGGCAGCAGGTGATAGCTCAAGCACTTGGGACCCTGCCACCCATGTGGACTGAGGTCCAGCTACAGTTGTTGCAGACATTTGGAGAGTGAGCTAGCAGATGAGAGATCTCTCTAAATAAAAAAATTTAAAAATAAATAAATGAAAGACATGAAAAAACTTTTTTTCAAACCACAGTTAGTTTATCTGGCAGTTAATCTGAGCTGGTTCCTAGTAACTCTGCCTTTCAAATCAATCTTCCATCAACTGGTTCAAGCTCCAGATGGTTGCAATGGCCAGAGCTGGGCAAGTCTGAAGCCAAGAACCAGGAGCCAGGAGCTTCATCTGGGTCTCCCAGTGGGTACAGGAGCTCAAGCATTTGGGCCATTTTCCATTGCCTTCCCAGGTGCATCAGCAGAGAGCTGGATTGGAAGTAGAGCAGCTGGAATTGGAACTGACACCCATGTGGGATGCCAGCACTACAGGTGGTAGCTTACCCACTAGGCCACAGTGCAGGAGAATATTTTTCCTGAAAGAGAGAGAGAGAAAGAAGGAGGGACAGAGAGAGGGGGGGCGGGATGTGCACGTGAGAGAACACCCATCACTGGATCATTCCCCAGATACCCACAACAGTCAGGCCTAGGCCAGACTGAAGCCAGGGGCCTGGAACTCCATCCAGATCTCCCATGGGGGTGGCAGGGACCCAATCCCAGGGTTCACATTAGCAGGAAGCTGGCTTTGGGAAAAGAGCTGGGATTTAGACACAGGCACTCTGATATGAGATGTGCGCACCCCAAGTGCAGCTTTACTGCTACCCTAAAAGACTGCCTCTGAGTTCTTTTAATCAACTACACAGAGAACTATCTACTAAGTTCAGAAATATGGGGGTGGGCATTACAATGCAGCAAGTTAAGCCACCACCTGGGACACCACATCCCATATTGGAGTGCCTGGTTTGAATCCCAGCTGCTCTGTGCTTTCAACCCAGCTTCCTGCTAATGCTCCCAGCTCCTGACTTCAGGTGAGGTCTAGCCTTGCTGATAGAGGAATTTGTACAGTAAACTAGTGGATGTAAGATCAATCTCAATTTATCTCTCTCCTCTCTCCCTCCCTCCCTCTCTGAAACTCTGCCTTTCAAAGAAATAAATTTTTTTTTAAAGTTCAGAAACATGGGGCCAGCGCTGTGGCACAGTGGGTTAAAGCCCCAGCTGGCAGTGCTGGCATCCCATATGGGCACTAGTTCAAGTCCTGGCTGTTCCACTTCTGATCCAGCTTCCTGCTAATGTGCTTGGGAAAGCAATGGAGGATGACCCAAGTCCTTAGGCCCCTCACCCACGTGGAAGACCCAGAAGAAGCTCCTGGATCCTGGCTTTGGATAGGCTCAGCTCTGGCCATTGCGACCATTTGGGGAGTGAACCAGCAGACAGAAAACCAACCAACCAACCTTCCTCCCTCCCTCCCTCCCTCTAATTCTTTCAAATAAATAAAATAAATCTTTAAAAAAAAGAAAAGTTCAGAAACAGGAAAAAGCCTAAAACTTGTCAGCTTTTAAGTTTAAAAGTTCTGCATGTATCATTTTTTTAAATTCATGCAAAAGTTTTTAAGTTTATTTTTTATTTATTTGAAAGGCAGAGTTTCAGAGAGAGAAATCTTGCTTAAGTTTTTTTTTTCTTTGTTCAAACTTTATTTATTTACTTGAAAGGTAGAGTTACAGAGAAAGAGAGACAGACAGAGATAGTCCATCCACTGGTTCAGTCTGCCAACTGGTAGCAAAGCCAGGAGCAAGGAGCTTCTTCAGGTCTCCCATGTGGAGACAGGTGCCCAAGGATTTTGGCCATTCTCAGCTGCTTTCCCATGCACATTAGCAAGGAACTGGCTGGGAAGTAGAGTAGCCAGGTCTTGAGCTGGCACCCATGTGGGATGCCTGCACCATTGGCAGAAGCTTAACCTGCTGTGCCTTAATGCTGGTACTCATACAAATGTTTTAAGAATGATCTGACACCATGCAGAAAACTAACTCAAAACAGATCAAAGACTTAAACCTAAGAGCTAAAACTAAAAATTCCTGGGTGAAAACATAGAGGAAAAGTTTTATGATGCTGTATTTGGCAATTATTTCTTGGATATGAGAGCAAATGGGAAGGCAGTAAAAGGAAACACAGATAAAATGAATGACATCAAAATTTAAAAATTTTGCACATCAAAGAATATTACCTAGAGTGTTAAAAGGCAAGTCACAGGATGAAAAAAAAAATCTGCATGTCTGATACAAATTATAATCCGATAAAAGATTGAGATCCAGAGTAAACAAAGAACTTTTACAACTCCAAAACAATTCTAACAGAAAACAAACTGATTTCCAAATGGGGGACCTGGCATTGTAGTAAGGTCAAGCAAGTTAGTTACCACCTGTAACACCAGCATCCTATATGAGCATCAGTTTGCTTCCCAGTTGTTCTGCTTCTGATCCAGCTTCCTGCTAATGCCCCTGAGAAGGCAGAGAAAGATGGCCTAAGTGCTTGGGATTCTGCCACCCCATAGGGGACTTGCATGGAATTCTAGGCTCCTGGCATTGGCCTGGTCTAGGCCTCACCATTACGGCCATTTCAGGGGAGTAAACCAGCAGATGAATGACCTTTCTCTTTCTCTCCTTTCTTTGCCACTCTGCCTTTCAAATAAATATATAAATCTTAAAATCAATAAGTAAATAAAAATGGGGAAGACATTGAATACACATTTCTCTAAAGAAGATACATAAATAGTCAATAAGCACATTAAAAGCTGTTCAATATCCCTAATTACTAAGGAAGTTAACTCAGAACTACAATTAGAAACCACTTTACATCCATTAGGATGGCAGCTACCAAAAATAAAAATACAAAAATAAGTATTAGTGAGTATCTGCAGGAATTGGAACCCCCATGCACTGTTGCAGAGAACATAAAATGGTGTTAACTTGTTACAGCTACTGTGGAAAGCAGTTTGGCAACTCTTCAAAAAGTTCAAAAGCATTACCATATGATCTATCAAGTCTACTCCTAGGCATACACCCCAAAGAATTAAAAGCCTTCAAATAGATATCTGTGAACATTCATGTTCACAGCAGCATTATTCACAACAGTTAAAAGGTGGAAACACCCAAATGTGCACCAACAGATGAAGAGCTAAACAAAATGTCTGAGGACACAATGGAATGCTATTCAGCCATTAAATGAATGAAATTCTGACACATGCTATAATAAGAATAAACTGTAAAGACACTCTGCTAAGTAAAATAAGCCAGACAAAAAGAACAAGTATTGTATGGCTCTATTTATATTTATATGATGTACCTAGAATATGCATGTGCATAGAGACAGAAAGTAAAATACAGACTACCAAAAGCTCAAGAGAAGTAAAATAAAGTTATTAATGAAAAGGTACTGGATTACTTTGGGATAACAAAAAGTTGTGGAAATGGACAGGCAGTGATGGTTATACAACATTGTGAATATACATACTACTATTGGATTGTACATTTTTAAATGGCTAACACAGTATAATTTATGTTATGTATATTTTGCCACAGTTTTTAAAAATGTGCTAAAAATAGACATGGATCAGAGACCTTCTACATTTATCTTAGCAGTGGAGCAGCAGCACACATGGAATAATGCCCATACTCAACCACCCAGTACACAAAAACTAGACGAATACAAGCAGTTTCAACATTCCTGGGCAGGATACACTGTAACCCTGACTTTGGGACAAAAGAACTTCATTCAAAAACTGACTCCAAGTCTTCTTCAGGCTTAGCTTCCTGGCTTCCTCTCAAGCGCATCTGTCCACAAGAACAGCAACAGACTGGCTGACTGGCAACAGTATGAAAGAAGCCCCACACCACGGGCTGCAGCTAACAGGCTAGCAGAGGCTGAGGTTTCAGCAGTGCCAAAGTTCTGTTCTCACAGGGTCAGTGAGTCTGCTAAAGCATGCATCTCTCGTCCTCATCTTCTTTGAATCATTTTATTGAAGTTTAATATACATACAGAAAAGGGTACATCAAATGAAACAAAGAAATTTTAAAGCCTGTTAGGTAAAATTTAAGTCCAGTATACTCAAATTCATCTCTTCATAAATTGGGAATTTAAAAATAAAAATATTTCCACACAAACAACATTCTTAGCTGCCAAATGTTAATTTCTTTTCCCCAAGTGGAAGAAGTGATTATAGCTATCAAAAAACATAAGTTGGGGTTGACGTTTGGCACAGTGGTTAAGACACCACTTGAGAACCTAGCTGGGAACTAACAGGTGATGACTACAATAGTTTGGTTCCTGCCACTCTTGTGAGAGTCCTGAATTAAGTTTTCAGTTCTTGGCTTCAGCTGGGCCCAGCTATGGCTGTTTACTGGCATTTGTAGAAGTGAACCAGCAGATGGGAGATCTCTCTTGCCAGTCTGCATCTTTCTCTTTCAAATAAGATAAATAATTGTTTTAAATTTTAAGTTGTAAATTAAATGGTCAATTTATCAAGAACACTGTCAAACAATGACCAACTTTTACTTACAAATTCATGCAAGAAAAAACTTGGAGCTATTTACCATTCATCACTTTCCTTCATCCCTACATCCCATCCAAGTCATCTGAAAGCAGCCCATCTACATTCAAAACATCTTCTATCTGCTCACTTCTTTCCATTTTCATTGCTAAATTATCTCCATCTACCTTGTTAATATTATCTCACCCAGACCAATGCAGCAGCCTCCTCCTGGCTCTATGTTTTTCCCAAAACAGTGACTTTTTTATTAGTTATAATACTAAGTTA